ACTCTTTCCTGTGCTGGGTACTGCGTGGCAACATATGTGCTGGGGATAGGTGACCGGCACAGTGATAACATCATGATCCGGGAAACTGGTCAGGTATGGGGATTCACTGCTGCTGTTGAAGTACTGGACGAGGGGCATGAATGCTACTTAGCAATGGACAGATACAGCCCAGTGCACTCTTACTGCTAAGGAATGTACCTCACCTTCCAGCCGAGAGGCAGACTGGACAAATATTCTCAATAGCTTCTATCATTAAGAGGGTAAATACAGTTTTATAATTTGAATTACAATTCTGTAAGCACCACTGCCATCAGCTGCTGCTGTTAATACCCACTTTGAAATTACAGTGGAGCAATTTGTACTTCTCAGACCTAAAATTGTCTGCAGATGCAAACTCAAGCACTGTGCTTATCAGTCTGAAGCCTTACTTGGCTTCAGCAGCATCACAAATTGCTTGTAGTTGCTAGGTGAGATCCTCAGTTACTTACCCAAGCTGATATATTTATAGTCTTCCTCCTGGAAAAAAAATGTTCGTTTTGTTGGGGTTTTTTTGGGGTTGCTTTTTGTTCTTGGGTGGTTGTTTTTTTTTTTCAAATGAATGCAAGTGATCAGCATGGGTTTCATTTCCCATTGATACCTGTACTGATCCTTTACTTCCCTACTCTACAAGAATAGCTAAGAGAGTTTATATCTTGTTGCGTACTGTTTGGAAGACAAAGGGCAAAACTAGGAAAAAGAAAATCCCTTTGCTAACCGGACCTAACCTACATGAGTAATATTTTGGTAAAGGGCGAAGTCTAAGCTGTCTTTCTTACTGAATTTTGAATTCTACAAAGCCTAAACCACCTCTGTGCTAGACAGTGCACGTAAGTCTCCTACAGGTCCAGTGGAGTCGGCTAGTTAATATTTGAAAGTGAGAAATTGGCTGTTGATGTTTTGAGACTCAGGTATGCAACTGCCTGCCTGCACTGCTGCAGTGCACTGTCCCACTCCTCTACCTCTTATTTCCCTAAATCAAGCAGTCACAGTCAAAGAACCCGAATAGTGCCTTTGTTTTGGCATCGCAGCAAGGACAGAGACACCGTGTCATTTGTTAGGAGACACCAACCTCCCTCCTTGGGCTGGGACCAGCAGCAGCCCTTACCTAGCGCTGCCTCTTCTCCCTATTAAAAACAGGCTGGGCAGGGAGCTTGCAGAACTGTTTCTGCAGAGCAGAGGCCACTCAGTTGTTTGCCCACTTGAGGGAGCTGGTGCCCTGCGGTACACAGCCTGGCGTTTGGTGCAGCTGGGCTTTACAGCCACTCTGCAAAATTCCAGTACTGTAATGTGCATGATCCTTCTCTCCTTCCCATCACTGCACTGGTGGTGCAATGACTTCACTGTGCTTGGTATTAAAAAAAAAAAAAAAAAAAACCAACCCCCAAAAAAGAGGGGGGGAAAAAAAAGCGCCTTACCTGAGCAAGTAGTTTGTAGTATTTTGTAGCAACTTCAAAACAGGGCATCTTGCCACGCGCTGTCTGGGACTGCAAACTGCCCTGGTAGGGTGCCTGTTTTAGTTCTCTCTCTGCTTCTACTTGTGACACACTAAGGCTTTACAAAACCCAGGAATTTCTTTAGATACACCAAGTATTGAAGAGGTAGGTACCTTTTCTGTCCTATCCAATATCTAATTACACTAGAGAGTGTCTTAGCAAGCAACTATTGCCTCCTTTCCCAAAGGAGTGCTGTGGGAGAGGTCACGTTTCTCCCTCCCAAAATTCTATGGTATCTTTTGAATACAGTAACTGAAGAGAACTCAACACTGATCAGTTAAAACAGATACTATTCTGAAAACAATTTTTTTCTTCCTTATTTTCAGCTGTTCCATATTGATTTTGGTCACTTTTTGGGGAACTTCAAGACTAAATTTGGTATTAATAGAGAACGAGTTCCTTTCATCTTAACCTATGACTTTGTGCATGTCATCCAGCAAGGAAAAACTAACAACAATGAGAAGTTTGAAAGGTAAGGGTTAGCAGTTAAACTTGACTTAAGCTTTTTGAGCTTTGAATTTTCAGAATTTATTTCCACCAATGATGTGTAGCCTATAGCTGTCTATACACCACAAATAATTATTATCTACCTGTTAGAGAAGGCGAAAGAGCGTGGTAGTCATCAGTGCAGTCTGCAGGGTTCAGACTAGTACGTAGTCTTGCTTTATAAAATGGTGTAGCTTGCAGCCTTCATTCCTTTGCCCTCTTCCTTTCTGAACAGATTCAGGGGTTATTGTGAAAAAGCCTATATGATTCTGAGGCGCCATGGTCTTCTCTTCCTGCACTTGTTTGCACTGATGAAAGCTGCTGGCCTGCCAGAACTCAGCTGCTCTAAAGACATTCAGTATCTAAAGGTAAGTGAAGCACAGTCCAGATACGGTTAAAACTGAATAGCTGACCTTGTAGCTCAGTGGAGTTCAGTGTGGGAGGGTATATTCTTAGGAGCAAACGAGCTCCAAAAATCATGAGTAGAGATCCAGCGTTCACATGCAGGACATGAGAAATGCCAGGTACCAGTGCTCAGGAAATAACTTCAGACTCCTCAGTGCGAAGGCAGCAGGTACCTTGTAGAACCAGCTTGCAGGGAAGGAGACAGAGCGCTCTGGTTCTGTATCAGTTCCCGTTGCTCTTAACTATAACCACCTACCCCTGGCCAGCTGGCAGACCATAGCTTTGTACAAGAGCACTAAAAACCAAACTGTTCCTTACACTCAACATAAGAATAGGATGCATGTGTTTATCAGAATGAAAAAACCTCATGCAACTTCAGCACCTATTAAAAACAATTAATGGCTGTTTGTTCTAGCCCCTTTCAGTGGGGTACTTTCTTAGTGAGTAAATATCTTAGTAGCTGAGCAGTTAATTGTTCAGTTGCACTCTCAGCGAGGTGATGCTGATTTCTGCCTCTTACCTTCAGGATTCCCTGGCTCTTGGGAAAACAGATGAGGAGGCACTGAAGCACTTCAGACTGAAGTTTAATGAAGCCCTGCGAGAGAGCTGGAAAACCAAAGTGAACTGGCTGGCACACAACGTTTCCAAAGATAACAGACAGTAGCGCAACATCAGCCTGCGCACTTGCTCCAAGAGAATGTAATACCTGCACTGAGGCCAGCCAGTTGTAAACAGGTTTTTAAAGACTGATGAATGTTGCTGTGTTGAAGATCCGGCACCTGCGTTCCCAGAGATCAGACATTTCTGCATGACTGAAAAATTGATGGACTGTCATCAGCTGCATAGTCACGTCTGCTGTAGGTCTTTGGGGGAACAAGGGAGAGAAGTGAGGCAATAAAATTACTGCATACAGTGAAAGGTAGGTAGGTGTACTGTATCCTTATGAACTTGTTAAACTTCAGATACATCTTTGAATGGAAGAGTTCAGGCAGTTATACCATCTTTCCAGTGTGTTAATGTGTCCATTTCTATTCTCTTGAAGATCTAGTTGAACACTGAGAACCTACTATCCCTGTAGTTCTTGTACTATAGCCCGTCTTCTAGTTCCCCACCGTTGCAGCTCAGAGGCATTAACTTCACCACGTGATCGCCCCTCCTACCCTGTTTCAGTGTACACGAGGTAGGTCAGCTTAAATCACCACTGAAGCTGACATGGACAAATTGTTTTACTCTGCAGTGTGACAGGGTAAAAATATCCACGCTGTTATATTGTTTTCTCTCTGCTACAGAGGCCAAAGTGTTCTGAGACTGAACTGGAGCCCATCTATTGTTCTTGTGGCATCACTTTTTTGACAGCAGGCTTGGATTGGCCAAGGCATTAGGTACTTTTGTTTGCTTTCACAAGTCAGATTTCGGCTGAGCCTCAAGCAATTCCTGGTTTCCGTGTTTATTCTGTTTTTTAAGCCTGAAAAATAGCAAGATTGCATTTTCAGGATTGGCATGTGACATTGGCTACATGTGCCTCCTGCTGGCGTACAGCAGAGCTGGTTTGCCACCGGGTTGCCCTGTAACACGTGCATGCCCTGTAATACGTGCGTACCTGCGTAATCACTGGGACACAGCACTGCAATTCCAGTGTCAGCTGGACGGGTGGCTCCATTCTGTGCCTGAGCGATTTGGCCAGCCTGCCTTCCTGCGTAAGGACAGGAGTGCCAGATGAGTGGGTTTAACACTGAAACACTTACAGTAAGTTGCATCTCAACTCTCATCTTCTTACAAATTTATTCCGTTTGTTTCCACACTCTTCCTCCTCTCAACCACAATGCACAGGTCCCTGTATTATTATTATCGTGTTGTTAGAGCAGGTGCACAAAGACTGCGCTTCTGTATGGGGGTTCAGCCAAAGAGCACGCTGTGGTTGTCCGTGCTGGTACCTAAATCAGGACAAACTGTCTACTCCAGACTCCTCCTGTTCTCACTGCTGCCTCCATCTCCTTCCCAAGCAGGATCTGTCCCATCTCCCACAGGGTGCTGTAATCAATCACGTATTTCTACTCATGTGTCATATTTCTGTCCCCAGCTAGCGTCCTCACCTGTGAGCAGCTCTGAGCACTGGTGTTGGCACGGGGACAGAGGAACAGGAGCCACTGCTACCACTCAGTGCCTCACGTGAGCAGAGCGAGGGGCCTCATGCAGGATGCAGCCCCTGGGTCATGTTGGAAGAGAGGTGGAGTAGCGTGGTTAGTACCCGCTCCCTTTGGCAGTTCCCTGGGGTGCTTCCTTCCCTTTCCCCAGCTTCACCGCAACATCAGGTTCCTGGAGGTGCTATCCGTCCCGCATTTAGAAGAACAGCATGGTCTAATTTTTCAAGACACCTTTATTCTTAGTAAGTCTTCCCTGCCATGGGATAAATTTGATTTGATCGTGTTTTTACATCCCAGCATATAGATAAAACAAATAAATTCCTGACTTGATACTTTAAAATCAGGTACTTTAAAATTAAAAGAATACTGCCCTATACAGGCTCTTTAAGTCCACTCCTTTTTTTTTTTTTTTTTTTTTTTTAAAGAGGACAAGTTCAAATATGTTTGTTCTTCATCAGCTACACAGCTAAGTTAACACTGCCTTCAAAAAGTAACTTAAAATAGAGTAGTGGGTGGTAATACTAGGGTTTGGTCAGTGAATGGAATATGAAACACCTTTAATAAACCCTTCCCTCGTTACCTTTACACAGATACGAGCAGATCATGATTCAGTGTTGTGCTGTTGCTAATTTAAATTCTGATTTAAAGTACTTACTGTTTCTTTTCGTGAAAGATGTTATGCCATGAAGTCTACTCTATAGTGTTTTGTATATATTAATATAAACCAGGTTGCCTCTCCTGGAGCACCTGACCTGTTACTCAAAGCAGCATTGCTACAGAACACAACTCATTTTAACTCTGTGTAGCCCTCGGCCATCCCCTTTCTCTACGCCTTGCGAATGAGACTGTGTGGGACTGAGAAGTGGCCAGAATATTTCAGGACAGGGGCACGGACCCTTCCAAGTGACCCAGATTTCTTATTACCCCATCCCTCTGTAACAGTGCTTCAGCACCCTTGTGTAACAGTAAGTAATACTGGAGTATGTTTGCAGCAAGTTATTTTTTCTTCTGTACTTTGCCCGTGTTCCAGACCCTCCTTAGCTAGAACTGAAAGCTTCCCCGAACTTTGCATTTGACTGAACACTAGGAAACCAACAGCGGGTAAGTGTGTACAATCCGACCTCTGGGAAACAAAACACTGTCTTGACTGGAGCCAGCACCCTAGAACCGCTGCTGCTCCCCGAGATCAGACTAAAAGACACTTCCTGCAGTCTGCGAGTATTTCCCCTGTGGAAGAAGAGCTCCTACGAAGTGCTGTGAATTACCTTCACCGTTGAGGTTCTCCTGAGTCTAGAATAGAAACGTTACTCACGGTTTTCTTGACCTAAGCAGCAATAGTCATCTCAGATTTCAAATTAATCTTGAAACAGTGAACCCGTCTTTGCAACTACAAGTATAGCATGATGAAACTGGTCAACAGACTATGAGAGTAAACCATCAGACTTTTTTTTTTTTTTAGCTGTTTTGTAAGGATAATCTTTCCTTTCCTGTGCCAGATACAATAGCCTCATGCTTCACAGGCTAAGAGGGTGCTGGTTCCTACTCAATAGGAAGTGCAAAAAGGAAACCAGAAGCCCAACACTCAATCTCTAACAGTTGTTTTGATATTAGAAGAAAATACTACAGATTTTAGAGCTCTTCGCTTGGAAAGCAGTGAGAAAGCAGTGCTGCACACAGCTACACTGCTGCTCCCTCTCCTGTGTGACCTTGTCCTGTTCCCTCCCTGGGGGTGCTATGCCCAGACTCTGCTGGCTTGCAGAGTTCCCTCTGGCCACACGACGTTGCTCCCTTTCAGAGAACAGATAAATATCGCTATTGCCTTCCTTATTAAACTAATTCACGCAGCACAAAGTATGCAAAAATACCGGGCCACACGCAAGCAGAGACACACTGAAACCACAGCAGCCCAGCCCATGGTTTGTACGCCCTTGTGGAAGGGAGGAAACATCCTACAGTTCTGTAAACACAACTCCCTCATCCAGAATCCTGCCTGTACTGCAGCAAAGCTCTTACCGAGCAGCTTCCTCAGTCACTCTTAGGTACTTGGTTTGCAGGGTCGCAGCAGTTCGTACCTACAGCCCTTGTTTTGGTAGTGTTTCCAGAAAATTCAGGCCCTATTATAGTTTTACGTAAGTACAAAGCAGCAGTAGCTCACGTCATCTGTCCTTCAATTTTATAGTGCAATAAACCAAAATTGTATCAGCGTAAACCGCAAGAACTGAGCAATTCCAAAGGCGTCTCTCAAGTGAGCAGCTTGGCAGAGAGGTCCAGGACATTGACTTACCTACCAGCAGTGAAAATACCAGTGAGTCGTCAAGAGGATCCTCTTGTGCACCACTGGAATAGCATCAGGAATGAAGTCTGATGGCACGATCGGGTCAGGAAGGAGCCTTTGACTCCAAATTTACAAAGCAGCAGCTCACTGGAGAGTTTTCAGCAAGTTGAATTGTACCGAAGATTGAAACTTAAATCACTTTCAAAAATATTACATTTCGCTATAAATAAGTACCTTCTGATTTTATAAATATGCTCAAAGTGATACCCCTCTCTATTTCTATTTATTTAGAGATGTTTCTCTGATTATTTTTTTTAACTCTGTACAAACTGATTGTGCTTATTCTGTTGCCTTTGAAAAAAAAGAAATATTTTTTTAAGCCAGACCATGGTTCTGTAAGAAGAGAATGTTTACACGTTTAACTTCTCGGTTGCTTTACGTACATGTTTTCTAAGTCAAAAAATAAAAAAAAAGATGGATAAATTGTACACACCTGCAGCCAAAGTCTTTCTATGCTTGAGATCAATGAAAACAAAACTCTTCTACTGCCACCGGCAGAGGCAAATTAACACAGTTAATGTAACTTAATTCAACTTCTTCCCATTCAACAAGAAATAAATGCAAACAACCTTTAGAACCAGAAATTTATTGTAGCTTATAGACTTTCCAAACTGACCTGTTACCAATATACACATCTGAAAAGTTATACCCACAGTGGCTACAAACTGCATCAGGACGTTTACAACCTTTCAGTATTACCATTAAGTCATGATCAGTTTTGGTCTAAAATACAGCAGCTACAGCAACAGTATATGGAAGGATAAGTCTTCTACACATTAACACAGGACAACTGTCAGACATAAGTTAAAAGTTTCCCAGTTTACTTAAAACTAGCAGTTATATTACCACGTAAGTAGTCAAAACCATTTCCCCATTTTAGAAATCTAAAATTTTACATTAAAAAAACAACCCCAAAAAACGGTAAGCTAGTTGTGTGGGTTCTCCTCCCTGCTTCCAGCTCCATCTACTGTGGTAAAAGGCACTCCGCAGTCAAGCGTTCCCCAGATAAAACCCACCGTTCCATCCCGTTACAGCACTAGGTGAGAATAGGTCTGCTCGGAAAATCAAAACTATAGAAACATTTGGACCAATCTTTCTCTTCTGACCCTTCATGCCCCAGCCTTTGGCTTGCTTGCTGCTCCGCAAGCACGCTGACCCCGTGCAGCACTTCCCCGTGTGTCCTGTCAGCCACTAACAGCCTGCTAGGAGATGTGTGCCCGTGCACCGAGAGCAGAGGCAGACCATATAAACGATCAAAAACCGGAATTTTGCTTACCGTGCCAAGGAGCGAGCGGAGTCCTAGTCTCCTGTTACAAGCAAAACAAGTTACTCCCTTTACTCCCCCCTCCAAACGTAAAACTCAAGCATGCAGATAAGCTATTCGAGGCTCTGCATAAGACCAAATGAAGTTAAATAACCAAGAGCTGCCTGACAAGAAAACGAGCACGCGCCACCACGGGGTCATAACTTACTTTTCGTACCTTTCCACTATTTCTTTAGAAAAGGCCTTTGCACTGCCAAGTTAGACCTTTGATCAGAAACAACCAAAATCAGCTGGACTTGGAATAATATTAACATGATTCCCAAGGTTTTCTGGCTGGATAATTTATGCTATAGTTTTCACCAGCAGGAAAACACAATTCCTAAGTGTAAACAAAGGTTAATTACACCAACAGCCCAAGTTACTGTACAAGGGACTACGGCAATGAGCAGGAGTCCATTTAATAGAAATGGTATCAGCTACGCCCCAAACCCTCCCACTACCAAATCAGGAAAACTGAACAGCCAAAAAAACCCCCCAAATACCTCTCTCTGTAGACTGGTAGCCAAGGTGCACAGGTACACAGGTCTCAGGCTTTCCAGCTTCAGTTACCAATGTAACAATCACTCACCTAAATCAAGAATCCACCCTGTCAGCAGTATGAACAGACCATCGTACTACAAGCAGCCTCACTGTAATTAACAGGAGCTGTGGCAACACGCAACAGCACACTAATTTGCCCAACTATTTCTTTATAAAAGGCCTTTGCACTGCCAAGTTAGACCTTTGATCAGAAACAACCAAAATCAGCTGGACTTGGAATAATATTAACATGATTCCCAAGGTTTTCTGGCTGGATAATTTATGCTATAGTTTTCACCAGCAGGAAAACACAATTCCTAAGTGTAAACAAAGGTTTAATTACACCAACAGCCCAAGTTACTGTACAAGGGACTACGGCAATGAGCAGGAGTCCATTTAATAGAAATGGTATCAGCTACGCCCCAAACCCTCCCACTACCAAATCAGGAAAACTGAACAGCCAAAAAAACCCCCCAAATACCTCTCTCTGTAGACTGGTAGCCAAGGTGCACAGGTACACAGGTCTCAGGCTTTCCAGCTTCAGTTACCAATGTAACAATCACTCACCTAAATCAAGAATCCACCCTGTCAGCAGTATGAACAGACCATCGTACTACAAGCAGCCTCACTGTAATTAACAGGAGCTGTGGCAACACGCAACAGCACACTAATTTGCCCACCATCCAAGTAGTGTTTTTTCCCCAATAACTTAAAAGCTCTTACGCCAAGACTTAATTGGAAGGGGGGGGAAAAAAAAAAGAAAAAGAAAAAACCAAACAACTGTATTGCACAGGGCAGCTGAACCTCTGCAGAGGTTCCTAAAGCCTTTACAATTTCTCACAAGCTTGTCTGTTCCCTCTGCAAAAATAAAGGAGATTAGAGAAAAATGAAAGAAAAACCAGAGCGGGGCATGAGCGAACATGGCAGTCAAGGCCAATGACACCGTATTACTGAAACATCTACACTAGATAACTGTGCCCGTGCTCCTGCTGCAGTAGGATGAGACTTGTAATATTTCATGCTTCATGATTTTTTGCTTTAGCATGTTTTAAACCCCAATCCCTGTTTTCACTACCACAAATGACATAATTACATAATTCCAATATATTTACAAAATATTAAAAAGTCTGTTAATCTTCTACATATTAACCTCATTCTGCCACTTTACACATGCACTAATTTGGGGAAAAAAATTAAAAAGAAATCAACAGGCTGAAATGAGCAGCTTTACCCTTTGTCAACAAGCGATCTTTGCATCCTTTAGAAAGGAAAAAGGAACAAAGCCAAGTTTGTTTCACTGAGCAAAAAAAAGACAGTTCAGAAATTCATGTGCAATGGCTACAGATCTGTAGAGTCACTGAGCTGAGATGACATGAAGAGAAAGTGCAAGGTGGTTCCTCACATAGCGTAAAAAAAAAAAATAAAATCCAGTCACTGAGGCGTGGCTGAAGGAAGAGGTGCTAACTACAATTCTAGGAACAGCATCAGGAACAAGCTGACGTAACACAAACACCGGGATGTGTGGGGGTTGAACCTACTGGCCAGAATGACTTTTTTTTTTTTTTTTAAACCACCATGAATCCTTGGTGACAATGGGGCGTAACAGCGGAGTCTTCTAGAGCAGAAACATAAAGACAAAGGGAACAGCTGGAATCCTGGAATCAATAACTGAGGGTAGAATCATCCCATTCCAGTTGTTGCTGTCTATTAACATTCTGTTGGTCCTCCTCCTGCTCTCCCTCTTCCTCCTCACTGCTTTCAGACTCTGCACTAGTGATATCATCTTCTTCTCCATCTTCACTTTCTTCTTCCTCTTCCTCCTCTTCCTCTTCACTGCTGTGTTGATCCTCATAAGTCTGTCAAGACAGAAATCAGCTGTTGGTATCATACGGGCCAAAATTCTTTTTATTCTTTTGAATTCAGGCACAAGGCACTATATTGAGGAAGAGCTATTACGGATTCCCTCCTCGTTTTCGAAGTTCAGCAGTAATTGGGCAACCAGAGAAGAAAAAGGAAGTAGCACTCTTTAAAATAGCTGTGTAACATTGCAATCAATCCTGTCACGCTAAACAAACTAATTCTGACGTGTGATCCATGACTTCAAATTCTACTGGAAAAGGATCTTTCGGTAGGGTCACACAAAGAGCATTAAGGTTGCACATCTTTCTTGTTCCTGTTAGATGTCAACCAAAGGAAAACGAAACATCATAACTACAGATGTTTTGACAATAAATTCCTTTAACTTTGGAAAAAAGCAGAGCAGGGCTAAGGTAGGGTGCAGCAGATAAACACTAGTGTTGGACACTGACCTGTAAAATCCAATTATGTGTCACGAAGCCAACACCCACAGACAATCCCAAACGTAACTGCTCTTGGCATTTGTCACTTTGGCGCGTTCATTAAAACCTCACAGTTAACATCTCTACTCTGTGTTCAGTGGTTGGTTTTGCTCTACTACTCTGCCCATGTACAGCCATACCCACTACAGTTGGAAAAGGGCATTTTTTTGTTAAGTGCTGAGACATCAGCTTTACCTCCATGGGGTTCACAGTGATGGTCAAAGCAGAGTCATCCCAGTCCATCTCGTTTTCCTTTCCAGTATCCTGGTCACGCATTGTTCTCTGATGTGCAGCTCGGATTCGGAACACTCCCAGAATAATCATAAAAACCAGGAAACTGACACAAACTACGATCACAACAGTGGCTGTGCTAGGAACAACTGCAACAAGAAAATAAACTGAGTTTCTTGGATGATGCTGATAAGTAACTCTTACACAATGCTAATAACTGGTCCTCTGTCCCCATCACCTGCAAGAAGGAAATGGCATCGTACAAATGTTGTATGTAGCTACACAGAGGCAGCTTGCCTAAGGCCACTTAAAAGTCACTTGGACAACAAGAACTAAAACTTAGTTCGTTAAAGATAGTTGTATCAATCTGAAGGACTGACAACACATGGAAAGCAGATTCCACCACACACAGACTCCTCTCTAAAATGCCTGTTTTTCTTCTCACATCCTACACCCATGCCAAATTAATGTAATTAAACCAGAAAGGACAGATACCACAACTCATAACTCATAAATACCAAGGGAATAATGCTGCAGTTCTTTCCTCATGCCATGCAGAAGAAATACTGTCCCAGTTCCTCACAGTCCTTTATCTAGGTCTTACAGTCCCCTCCAAGACTTGTACACCTCCCACTTCCCAATGTACACACACCAACAGAAAGCTCTCCTGCTGGCAGGAAAAGATACTTCATAGATCTCCAGTAATCAACTCCTCCCTGCTTGGGCAACAGCAGAACAGGACCAAGTAGCGGCTGAGATTTTTAGGCCAACACACTGGTTTAAACACTGGGAAAAAACCTCTCCTCTGTGATGGTTTAATACCAGAGAAAAAGAAAAAAAAGATGAACTTGAATGCCTGAGAACTCTTACCTGAAAATGGATGAGGGTTAGCTAAGTTGTGACCAGAGAGATCAACAAACGTATGATGCACTGGATGAACAAACTGTGGTTGTGCAGCTATGTGATTAGCATGTTCAACTGGGTTAGCTGTGTGGATAACATTCACCTACGAACAAAAAGAAAATGTTCAACACCAGAAATGCAACAGTTTACTTCTGAAGAGATAGAAAGGAAGAAAAAGGGGGGGGGGGGGAAATTCTATTTCCCAGATCAGGCATCCAACTCTCCTTCAACACAGCAATGGCTTGTCTCAGGGGACAAGCACATCCCAACCGGTAGCTCCTTGTGCATTACAGTTCCCTGTCACAAAACCCTTCAGTTTCACAGCTCTCAAATCTGTTTTGATTAGTCAGGCAAGTTTGTGTACACACACGAGTATTTCAGAATAAAACATAAAGACAGTTTATTATCAAATTTGGTAGCCAGCCATTTGAATCCTGAAATAACTATATACAAAGATATATACCACATTAATTGCATTTTCTTCACTCCCATCTTTTCTTCTCCTGCTGTAGATCTTCAGCTAACACCGAAGAAAAAAATCCATATTGCAGTCAAAGGGTTAAGAAAAAACTATTCTTTACCATGTAACCCACGCTTAGCATTGCTGGCTTTTAGGTACAACTGCAAGCTCATGCATATTTCATGTTTCCTTGCCAAACAAGAAGAGCTAAATATACCCCTCCTGTGGTGGAACGCTCCAATACAGGGTACCTGACCAGCTGCACAACAGGAAGAGACACGTTTACTACAGAACAAGGAAAGCATTTGCAGTTCAACAGTTTAGTAAGATCCCAGCTCAAGCTCACAGAATTTCCTCAGGAAACAAAACCACATTACTTAATAAAAAAAAAATTCTATTCTGCAACACAAGAGGCCCCCCCAGCTCACCATAACCACCTAACTAGTGGTAAATACAATTAACTTCACTGTCATCCCTTTGGTGAGCTCTAAAATGTAGGAATTCAAGCTCATAGCTGAAAGATGCAGAGACACAGGACAGTTCCTCTCAATGTAACTTCACTTTCAGCACCTGAAATTTTAGTCCCCTATATGTTATCTTCTGCTGTACTTCCATATATTTGATGTAAGTGTACCAAGTAATAATCAACCTGTACCCTACTGCGGAGGAAATGCAATTGTAGCCTGTCTCTGCTCTTTTGTAAGCCCTTAGTATCAGTGTTTTAAGCATCACACAAGCAAAACAGTGAAGGGCCCAGCAAGTTCATTTGCAGAATCCTACAAATTACACATGAAGGCCACTCAAGCCTCTGGTAGCATTACTCGTACTCTACTTGCTAGTTTTTTGTTTAATTAATATGCTGTCTTTCCAATTCAACCTTTTCGCCTTACCCTTCCATTAGCCATGTTATTTCTTTTACAACACAACAGTTTCACCTGTCTTTAGGCAGCCTTATTTAAAGCTGAAATGTAAGATTAAGAACACGTGTATACATATAAAATACAGCCTGAAATGCACACGTTTACTAATATTTATTTGCCGGACAAAAATCTAAATTAATAATTGATCGATTAGCTATCAGTTGAGGCAACAAGTTCCATCCTCCTAGCCATCCATGCTCTAAAACACCTCAGAACTAGCTTAGCTTATCAGAATTAGCATTAGCCAAATCAGATTAGCTTACATACCTCCACTTTAAACTCATTGCTGACATAGCGTCCATTAAGCTCAGAACAGACCAATTTGAACTTTCTGTCAAAGAGAGACACGGTGTGCCAGTTTCTGTAGCGTATCAAATGCAAAACTTCCTCATAACTAGCCATAGTATCGACCCCTGTGGAGAGAAATAACCAAGTAAAACAATTACTTTGCAAAAGACTAGTGCAACGTCATACACTTGACAAATACTGCCCCCTTTCTTCAAGCAGGTTTTCTTGGCTGACAGATTTTCAGTTTGTAGAAAAAAGGTAACACTGTGAAGATAGACACACACCTATGTAGCTCCACTGAAATTCTGTGGATTGATTTTGTGATAAAATCTTAGACCCAGTCAGTCTTTAAAGGGATTGTGGAAGCCTTTCTTTCAAATACATAACATAGTCTGAATATAAAATAGAAAGGAATGATGCGCGCTCCTAGGCACTGCATTATCTATGCAAGGAACAAGCCTTTTCTGGGGCAAAGTGTACTTCATTCCCACAGTCCAGAGGTAAGCTGCAATTTAGGACAGGGAAGAAGAGAAAGGAGGTTCTAGAAGGATGTATTTTCTACAATCACAGCTTCCCACAAAATACTTGCAACACCCCTGAGCTTGAAATTCTAGTCAAAACCAAAGCATTTAGAGTAAGGTATTAGAAACCTCTCTAGCACACTGTTCCCGTTATCACTGTTGTCAGACCCTTCCCCCAAGAAGACCAGAAGTAGTAACCCCTACCTGTGATTATCATGCCCAGGTTGGAACTGCTCATCTCAATGCCTTTCTGCTGTAATCGTGTCATGTCAATCTCCAGGCTTTCTTGTTCCTGATTTAGTTCCTCTCCTAGCACTGTCACCTCACACGTATCCAGGTTATGCATGATCTCTTCAGATACCAAAGACTCTTGTACTAAAAAGCAGAGAAAAAGCCAAATAAGTAAGAAGAAACAAAGGTGAAGCAGACAGGAGCCCAGGAGCTATAAATGTAACATGCAAACTCAACTCTTCTTCCAGAACAAATATTGAGAGGTGAACCTGAAGTAGATCAAGCAAGTATTCATGAAAAAATGATTAAAAAAAAATACAAACAAGGGATATTTACATGAAGATTATGGGCTGTGCTTACTACCACTTCCAGGTAAATTTTTGTAAGCCCAGAGCAGAGTATCTACACTTTCTCACAAGAGATATACACCTTCTTTTCCCCTACTAGATTCTGTATTAAGAGAAATTCATGTCTCTTTGCAAGAGGAAGACCCTCCAACATCATCGCTGAATGGGGTGAGGGGTGGGCAATAGTCCTAAGCAGAAAAGGATGTTACCTGTAGGATCTTCATCTCCATCTCCCTCCGGCTCCACCTCCCGTGTAATGGTGCTTATTATACGAAGCTCAGGAAAGAGGGAAACACCCTCAGAACTCTCAAACTCTGAAGCAGAGCGGGCAAAATGGTTGATGCCACTAAGGCTGATTTTTGGTTCCTCTGGTTGCAAGACCATTATGTATCCCTCTACAGAAGGAATGGAGACGCAGGCCTCTTCATTGAAACACCTATGAGATATAGAAGCAGTTTTGCACAGTCAAGGAGGCTATTCGAGAGGGAGGCACAATTATGCAGAGTAATTGCTTTATAAATTTTTAAAAAGCTCTGTCTCAGACCCAAGAGTCTTAGATAAATTCATCAACTGCATTGGAAAGTAAGAATTTCCCACCAAGGGAGCAATCTTACAATTAATTTTTACTTACAGTTAACATTTGGCCCCATTTTCTATGCTATGACTAACAGCCACAGATAACACCTTTAATGAAGGCTGTGATACTGGAGACATAGTCTTGCAATAAGTTCCTCCCTCTCTTACACAGCCCTTATTACATTCTCAGGAAGAAACAGAGTGCTGGTGTAGAAAACATTTGCTGTATTCAAATGCATGATGGTTACAGAGAGCAAGGCTCCTTTGCTTATCACAACTGAGATACACGAACATCATCCTGGCTTCAGTATCACCATACAGAGATGCATTTCAGCACTAGGACATACTTCACAACACTGGTGATTTTAAGCCTCCGAATCCCAGGTGTTGGGAACTGGCGGGAATTCAGATAGGAAATGTGTTGCATGGCCTTATCAACTCTGTCAATGTCATCCCCTTCTAAGGTCAGCGTTGACTGACTTGGGTTCATGTGGATCTGAAACAACAGAAATATCAGAGAATACCCAAACAGTAACATGATCTGGTAATTAAAACCGGAAGTATTGCTTAGCCTGCTAAATAATTACAAAAGCAATGAGGCCATTACTTACTGGCCTTGTAGTACACTGTCTAACATCCCTATTCACTTGCCTCTTCCAGTGGAATATATTTAGTGTTTCGTTCTTTAAGAAAAAATCTAGGCATTTATCATAGTTCTGATGTGAAGATTCTAGTAATAGGGAAGAGAGAGAACTAATATAAAGGAGAAATTTAGCTCTGTTCACCCAACCTTGCTACTAAAAAAAGGCATGCAAGTTAGTCTCATTCTATTAAGCTGCTTGGTAATAATCTATAATCTTTTATTAGACTATCTGGTATAGCTGGTAAAACAGAGAGGCTTACAAACACAGAATTTCTCTTCAAGACTCAAAGAGAGCACAGTAACTTTCTTAAACTCCACTAAGAACATATCTATACAAGAAAGATTTCCTAGTTTTCATGTAATTTTAATGCAAAATATCACAATAGATTAGCTTGTTTTATTAGGGGCGCTACTACTAACTCTGCTAGCAAAACTTTTAAGTAATATCAGCAAAGCAATATATATGGCTCCCCTTTACCCATATGCAACTTTACCTTCACGCCTTTGCCAACACCATCAGCCATTTGCAAATCCAGTCCCTCTTTGCAAGTATACAGGCAATCTATCACCTTCTTGTTTTCCAGTTTACCAGAACGAATCATCAAACCTGCCAGATTGCCTCGGAAAAACTGAGCCATGTGGAGTTCACCACCTTCATAAAGGGAGGAAAGAAAAATCTTTTTATATTTTCTTTTCACTTTTTTTTTTTTCCCCTTTTGTAAAACAACAAATATGCCTTCTGGTACCACGAAGTACTATATACATGCAGGTTAGTTTTTATCCATTCTGGGTGTTAACCTTGTGATATGTTCAAGCATAAAGAAAGAATTCAGCACAGTTCACCATGCATATGGCCTTCAAAACAGCAGTGGCCATCTTGAACTGTGAAACTATGGCTAATATTTCCGTAAGAAACATTTCAAAAGAAATTGCCCATACAGCGAGGTGGTGTTCTTCAGAAATAAAAGACAGAACCAAGGAGATGAACTATGAAACCTGAATCTTCATGTTGAGGTAATACCTCCTATTAGTCGATTCTCTGCAAAACCAGCAATGCCCATCCGGATAAAAGATGACAGCAGCCCTCCTCTAGATGTTAGTTACCTACATCCAAACCCATCTTTACAGGCTCTCTTTACACTCAAAGGTTAGAAAGAAACTTCACAAAGTGATTCAGCTCATTCTGAAAAAGGCGTCTAGGAGTTAATTGCTCCCCTCTAAAGGTGCCGCCTTCTCTGTATGGACTCAAGCACACAGTTTCAACTCAGGTAACTCATTTTTAGATATCTCAGTTAAGTTCAATGAATTGCAACCCAATAAGCCCCTTATTGCTTAGATTTTTTGAAGATGACATCATGATGATCATCTTGCTAAATAATGGGGGCCACAGAACACCACCTGGAAATTTGTATTTCAAGGTCAGCATTTACTAAGCTACCAGATTTTTAGAAAGACATCTAAGCTTGTTTTAAAGATTCTGAGTGATAAAAGATCCCTGGCATAACGCAGTAACATTTTCAGTAGTGAATTCTCCTGTTATGAATTACGTAATTTCCAGTTTAGATTTGTACAGCTGCAGCTTCCAGCCCCTGGATTCTGATACACCCTTGACAAATTAAAATGTGATGCACAGCTAGAAACCTCTTGTCAATTATATCTAGACCATTCCAGGAATTCTAAAATTTTACAGAAAGAGTACAGATCTTGAATACACTTTTAGAAATAAACACTAATTTTAAGTATCGCAACTCAAGACACAAAATCCACTGAACTATCACTAAAAATTTCCAAGAAAATGAAACCCTGTAGCCAGCCTGAAATATCCAGTAGCCAAAGCTTTTATGCCCACTCACTATAATTAGAACTTTATATCAATTTCTGATTGAGTATCCACAGTAAATTACAGGTCCGAGTTCTATATGGGCAGCTTGATCTAAACATGAAACTGGTCTTGCTTTGAGTGGGGAGCAGAGCTACCTGACTTCCAGAGGTCCCTCCTAACCTTCTGAATAATCTGTGGTACACACACATACCTACATACATATATATACATATATTTATATAGGATGAGGTGCATTTGTATTTTAACAGAACTGGACAAAAGAAATCATAGCTGATATTTTACATCAGTAACTTATTTTACACCACTTCACTGCAATCACAATGGCTGCAGATTTGTACATGGATGTGCATTTGGGTGCAACCAAAAAACAAACCACCAAAAAACCCCCCAAAACCAAAAAGAAAGCAAAAAAATCAGCTGATGAAGCTCTGGAAACAGAAGCACAATGAAGAAACAAGCCTAGGAGAGGATTATGTGAAGGTCAATGGCCCAAATGCAATGCCTGCATTTCATGCTGTGTGTGAGATGAAGCAATGTCTTGGCTTAAAAATGAAATAAAACAGTAGGGAAAAAAACTCCAGCAACCTGCAGAGGTCTCAGGCACAGTTTCATTGTCATTTTCATTTCCTGTATATTCTGTGGAAAAGCAAGACAAAGAAAAGGACAAAGAAAATACACAGCAGCACTTCCCCCAAAAAGTCTGCTTATACTCGACCCAGCTTCTTGAGGATTATGAGTTCTTTCAAACACCAATAGCTGCAGCACAGGGCAGAAGCATTACTGTGTTGTTACAAGAGTGTAACGTTCATGCCAAGACAACCTGAAGAGCCCCATACACAAGCTGCAGTAAAAGCCATCACACTGGAGAACACTTTAACCACAGATACCCCAGCTCACACAAACTGCTATGAGACTAATGAGATACAGGTCCATCAACTGGCTCAGTTTATTTTCTCCTCTCCCAAATACTAAAGGGGAAATTAAGGTGAGATCCAGCCTATATCAGCACATCACCAAAAGGTGTATCAAAAGTAGCCATTACCAACACAGAATTTTTTATTGTAACAATAGTATCACAGGTACTAAGCAGTCAATTTATCAGATGGAAGCATCGGGGAGGAGGGGAGGGATGACACAAGACAAAAAATGGAAAACAACTTTTAATCATTTAAAAGAAATGTTAAAAGAAGTTTTTCAAATGCAAAATATCTCTCTCTCCTTAGAGGTAAGCTGTATATATAACCTAGAGCAGCCTAACTTATTTTAAAATCTTGGTAAGACAAAAAGCACTAAGTTCATTCCTTTGGCATACTTTTTTCCTCTGTGCTCTAATCCCCTAAAAATCAAGCTTTTGGTGGAATTTTTAAAAGGTAGTGCCTCAAGTCCTTGTATTCCAGACTTTTAATGCTCCTATTTCAGTCTGGAGTAATTAAAAAAAAAATTCATGTCAGAATAAATTGAAGAATCATATAATGGTGCCAATATGAAAGCACAGGAGTTTTTAAACTAAACAAATATGCTTTTGTTAGGATGAAGAACTTCTACAGAAGCCATTACACAATCCATACACTTAGGTGGAACAGAGTTTCCAAGCTCCAGTTTCTTGAAAACCAGCCACTATAGCTTCCCTTTGTGCTATAGGAGATAGTTGGAAAGTCACAAGCAGAATGAGATTAAGGATAGAAAAAATAATTAATTGACTCAAAGGGACAACGGAATGAATTTAGCACTGAAATAACATTAAAACTGAAAGATAGTGAAGTTGTCACAAAATAGTAAATTTGATGGAGAACATATTTTGATAATTTAACCTTCGGTCACACTTCAAAGCCTTAAAACTCAAAGAGAAAAGAAACATTGTAAGACAGGAGACTGTTAATTTGATTAAAATGTCTCAAAGTTTTCCATTTGTCATTCATTCACAAGCTACTTTGTGTATTATTGCAGACTGCAAATACAGTCTATATTCTGAACTACAACACGAATGATTTAACACTGTCCTTATTTCTGACCAAAAAGATTGGCTTTATACCAGCTAGGGTGTAATTTAATCAGCAAGCAAACATTTCAGTTCAGGACAGTGAAGCAAGAGCTTTGTTACAAAGATCTCTGGTAATCGGCCTCCGTGTTCAGATGCATTCTTCTCCCTTTTCTCAAGCTTTGAAAAGTAGGTTTCACAAGTATTAAAGCACGCGAATCAGCATTTCACAGCTTGCAGAATACCGTGTTTTAAGCCATAGTCTGCATACGATAAAGCAGATGCTTTCTATGTTTATTTTTGTAAGCAGAAATCGTACAATATCCAAAAGACAGCATCACTGTGTTGCTTATTAGCTGAATTGTCTCCTGGTCATGTTTCCGTTTATAAGAACACTTTTTCTACAATATGCTTTCCAACCTACTTGGAATTAAGTGTTCTGTTTTGTAATCTGAAGTATATGATGTACTCTTACAACTGTTTTTAAAAACAAGCTATCTATATTCCCATGGTTACCACAAAACCACTTTGATGGAATGCTGCTTGGCGAGTAGCTTTGTATTTCATACACACCTGTGGCCAACGAGCAAAAAAAAATCACTCAAAGAAAAAATGACTAAAAGAGGAAATATATGATACTAGCTAGGAGCAAAAATAATCTGCAAAAGACAAAACAAGTTATCTTTCATGGACTAAAAAGATCTGTTACGTACTAAGCTAACCACAAAGATTTCATAAAAAGAAAAAGCTAATCAAAAGTATTAACAGTTGTAAACAGTTACCTTGCCAACACGCTCCAACGACTAGCTGTGTTTCTATCTTTGAAGGATGAAGTGGGTAATCTTCAGTCACTGGGAAAGGATCATATGAAACACCGTCTACATAGAGAGTTACCGCAGGAAATTCAACATTGAGGACATAATGATGCCACTCTTTGTCACACACCTGAGTGAAGAAAGTTTTAAAAATTCTACTTCAGTTTTTTTTTTTTAATTACAGTTGAATAACTGATCTGATGAACATTTTGCATATACATACATACAGATACACTGACAGCCTATAAGCCTGTATAGACATTATGTTTCACACACATGGCACACATCTGAAAAAAACCAAACCAACTGTAAAATGTTTATAAATAGTTTCTTTTCTTCTATTGCCAACATAGGAAGCTGCGTCTATTTCCATTCCTTTATTTTTTATAATATCTAGTAACAAATATTTGAATTTAAAAATAACCTCTCTACACGCAAGCTTATTCTGAAATACTGTTATAATACAGCATTACTTGACAAAGGGCCTGTATTTGCTGAGAGGAACTGTTTAGAGAAAAACATGACCATTTTGAATATAAAACAGTCTTCCATGACAGAATTATTTATAGGGAAAACTGATTAGTTTTTGGAAAGTAACAATCTTCCCACAAGGACATATATGGGCATTCTACCATTAGAACAAAATACATTGCCCTGCATAGAAAAGAGGATATAGTTAGCTGTGTCAGAAAGTAACTCATTGTTTAGGTAACTGGCAAAACAGACCCATAATAGCAACCTAAAGCAACTAAAAGAACCTTTATAAATTTACAGATACACAGCGTTATTTTATCACTCAGATCCAGAGGGCTGGAAAAACACACAAAATATTTAGTCCTTTCTGTCTCATTCTTTATGATCATAAACATCATGAATTCATAGAAGTAAGTTCTGAAGATCAAAGTAAAGATTAGTTATTACAGCCTTCACTTTCAAATGTAAAATAATTAAGAGTACATGACCGTAAGAATACAGACAGACAACTCTCTCTAAATAGCAAGCAGAACTACCTGCATCCCTCAGAGGCCTATTAATTCTACTTTTGTGGAGTAAAATCCAATTATGAAAACTGATTTGTAGCCACTGCTAGCAATGTGTAAGAAGTCACAAATTTTATTTCAGCGTGAAAAAGGATTAAGAAGGTAAGTTCTTCTGTTATCCTATTAACACTTCAATTTGCAAAAGCATTGCATGCTCAGAAGTATTGCAATGCTATAAACAAACCGGAATACTTCTGTTTTCTTATCCACGCTACCTTATAGCATATTTAGTGAAGATGACTGACATCACAGCGGAAGACTGACATTGTATTTTCACATATAAATCCACATTTTACTACCTTTCAGGACAATGACTTGTACTTTCTTTCATGAGTATCCTGCTTGGTTTAATAAAACCACTAAAGCAGTATTTTATATTCAAGATGAAAAGGTATAGCTGAATCTACTTCTGACACCTGATCACAAATAACGTAAGCATTGTTGTGTTCTATGAAACATGACATCAGGAGTCTGAAGTTGCAAAAAGTATTTATTAATAATTATACTATCAGGGAATTTAGTCTCCAGTGGTTTTCACTGCATTCTAACCAACTGTCCCTTCCAAACTTACTTGATTTAGTTTCCAGTGAAATTCAGCGGGTCTGTATGTTTTTGCCTCTGAAGGATCTTGGCGGAAAAGGAAAACAAGTCGGCAGTTGTGTACATAGAGCGTGTAGTGGTGCCGGTTCATATCTGCACAAGAGTTATACGTAGAAGTAAATGAGGCACGTCAAGAGTAATGAGAAACGTTTGTAATAGTAGTTAGGGCAAACGTTCTTGCACAGCCCATGAGTAATACACTGTACAATAGACATGTCTATCTCCAAATCCAGCCTAAACCAAGGCACAGGACTGAAGACTCACAGATACATCTGTCAGCAGGAGAAAGAGAGCTCTATTTGCAAATAGAAGAGCTTTTTTGTTACAGATGAGTTGCTTCTACCGCAGCTAATTACTGGTTTGGAACATGTATACATGATGGCAGGTGGACATGCTAGATAGGTGGCCTCACTCGGGTTGCTTTAATTTCATACATATTTTCCTACTTTTCTTTTCACACCAGTTAGATGAAGGTTATCATATAGGACATCTACCCATATGCTGTATGAACACTGCTGGGTCACAACAGTGGTTGCCCCATGACATTAAAGCTCCTCCAAAGAGTTCTGAGGGGACAGTGGTTCCTGGCACTCCCTCCTTTTGTCAGTACACTGCCTGGCCTGAGTCACACTTCCTAGGAAATGGCCCCCCATGCTATCCAGGTGGCAAGCAACTCCACCCACCAAAAATGTAAGACCATTCTTGCAGCCATTAGATGGTATAAGCTGGCACCGTAGAGATGAAACATTTTAGCTACATCATCCATTCCATGGCATGGATGAGTCAAGAAAGGAGGGAATGAAAAATTACCAAAATCATGTCAATCAGCCTGACAGCATTAAATGTGACTGTACTGTTCCAGTGCAATATACTCAAAATTGCCTCCCTCCAACAAACCTAGTTCCAAGTCTTTCAATATTGTATAATATACCATTGAAATAAAGGCAAATGACATTTACACTACCAGAAATTATCTGTCGCAAAAATTATAGAGTTAGGTCAAACTAAGGAATAAAAACCAAAAACTTGTATTGAAGGTCTGTTTCCCTTGTACTTGAAACCAGGAGAAACTGTATTTAAATTTGCCTTTTTTCCCCAGTTTACTTACTCCCATGAATCCAAAGGTTTGGGTTTTGATTAACAGGAATGGGTGAAGGCAGGTAAAGGAGGAGAATGTTTGTACCTGATTCTGAATAACAGTCACTTTTCTCCTGTTCAAAGAAATGCTTTTAGGATATTACAAATGCTGTTAAAACTTTCTGATTTTCAAGTAACATTTAAAATATATTCAGCGTAGTTTTCTGTGAAAAACCTAGCAGCATTTTAAATAAAGTATCTTTCTAATACACTGCTCCAGCTAACAATGGCAAAAATTCTTTTACCCCATTAGACAGCAATTACAGAAACACACTTATCACATTTCCTTCTTATTAATAGCATCTTCAAAATGATTGGGTCTGTAGCATTCACAGAGACTGAAATTATGCACAGGGTGAAAAAAAACTTCATCACTGGAGAAATTATCTCCTCCTAGAAAAAAAAGATACAGTAGCAAATGCTGTCACTAAACCTGATATATGTATCTTAATGGTTTTAGGCAGCATCAAGAATAAGGCTATCTTTGGAGATGCAAAATTGAGACTGCGTTGCCAGAATAAGTCATCTACCATGACAAAAAAAATGCATAATATAAATGGAAATAGAATTAGGAAAAAAAAGGCTGCCTAATCTGAAACTGAAGCTAGATCATCTAAGGCCATGCCCCTATAGGCAAGCATGATAAAGAGCGACTTCTGCAGTCCATTTCATTTCACTTCCAATAAAAACCTAACCTAGTGAAAAAAACTTAAGGTTCTCACATATGCTGCCACTGCATATAAAAACAAACAAACAAACCCCAACAATGAGACTTTTTGTATTTGAAGTATTGACAAACCTGTCTTGTCTGAATTGCACAGAATAGTCTCTTTCTCTTTGGTTCCAGGCGCATGTCTCATCCATACTGAAATCATGAAGGGCTCTTTTAGATTGACTGTGACAACACCATCTGGAATCTTCACGGCTTGTGTGCCATTAAATTCAAAGACTTGGTCACTGTCATGACCATTATCAGTAGGAAGTCCTATTGTCCAGTTAGCAGCACTACTTGGAGGAGGAAGTAGCTCAGCTGTGCCAGAAGAAGCACCTAAAATAAAAACGCTCAAATGAAAAAACGTAGGAACTAAAAAAGATCACCACTAGTTTCAAACCAAACTGTTTTTCTGAGCACTAATTTTTCACCACCAACTGGCAGGATTATGCACTACCTTCACACATCAAGCTATTCTCCTTTTAAGTAACGTGGCACTAATAACAGACATCTAATCACGAGGATTTCCATAATTTTAACTTCTGGGTAGACAACTAATCTCAGTTAAATTGTTTTGCTTACTATCTCTAGAACTGTAGAAACTTACTTGCCTCTCTCTCAGGAACCATCACAATTATACCTCTTGTCCCACAAGGCCCACGAACATGATGCCTTTCTCTTGATGCCATACTAGTTCTAAGACCAATATCCATCCAGTTGAAGAGGGCTGAATAAGCGTCCCCTCCCAGATCACTGTCTAATAGCATAGCCAGGAGCAGTGATACCCAGCAGGTACTTGGCTTGTTGTTTTTTTCCCCACTTCAAGTCTAAATAATTTATGTCTCAGTGACCTAATCCAGGAATACCTTAGGAATTGCCTGTCTCTCTAGGGTTACACCATATTCACACGCTTCCAGCTAACTTCAACTGATGTTGAAGACCTAAATTGTCAGTGACAATTTGCCCTGTAATCTCAATTCTTCCATACTGGCTACAAAGGATTCATAATCTTTTTGTAAGACCTTTAACTGCAGCATACATGGATGCCAATGTGCCCTTTATTCCTAGGGCAAGCACAGCATAAATTTAACTAATCCAATATCCTTCACAGCCATCACGCCTCAGAAAAATAGAGAGGTTTTAATGGCTATACTCTTCCACACATATAACATCCTTTTAGCTCTTGAACATGCATCTCCTGTGAGGGAAAGCTTTTTATTGCCTGCTAGGCAAAAAGTTGGAGGAAACTACATGCAAATGAAGACCATGTCCACTCGTTGATTTGTGGTCTAACATAATATTCAAAGAAAAACTAATAAGCAAGAGAGACTGCTTTATTTCAACGAAAGCATTCTTACCACAGAGTCTGTGAATGGATTTCTCAGAGTAGGTGTCTCTATCACAGCCTTTACCAATATGGTTGGTTTCTAGTTCAACTGTTGCTTGAATTGAGGTTATTGGCTCATCACATGTCTCCAAATGCATACCAGGGAAAAGAGCTAACGAACCAGTACCGGGCTCATATTCTATTCTTTTGCTCCAACCTGTATATTTATCCAAAGAAAAAATATTAGAAATCGCTTGTGTTTAACTGAAGGTACTGGCAAATGCTAAAAGCAGATAGGAAGGAGATCAAACTAACCTTGCCAGCCAGGCTTGCATGTAGGCTTAATGCTAATTTTAACCAACACATCCTCAGCAGCTCTCTTCTTCCCACAGTCATACGCTGTTACTGTCAGTTTATATTGATGTTCTTTACCATAGTTTAACTTCTCTGTGTTTTTTATATAACCTGACACAAAAAAAGCAATAATCAGACGTCAATATTTACTAAATTCTGAGGGTCATCGTCACATTAAATGCATCTACTAAATACAGGTACCAAGACTTTTAACACACACCCCTACATGTGAATTAGCCCTTCACTATTTGACTTTTCAATGCCAGACACTGGGCCCAGATCCTTAAACATTAGATAAATCCAAAGATGAGCACACGTACACAGAACAGCGGGTATATACTTATCAGGCTCTTAATAGTGTATTATATTACTCAAAATTAAACTGTTCATAGATGGTAACCGATACATAAATTGTTTGGCACATGCCAGGATTCTCTACCTTTTTTAAAATTTGCACCCCCATAAAAATTATCCATTGGCAATGTGGATCCCAAAAACTCAAACTAAAAGCCATTGAAAACCGTTTCACTTTGCTTACTCAGCTTGCTTGAACCCCTAGAAGCAGTCTATAGATTTTGAAGGGTCCACAGATGACCGGCGGAAAGGAAATGACCTAAACAAGTCACTACACTTCAAAACCAATAACCATGATACTGTAATCTCCAGATCCACATATGAGCATCTCAAATGTGAAAAACACATATCGAATCCTGTTTTGAAAGCTAATTAGCAAAAGTTATCCTAATGTAGAATAGAAAACTACGGACAAAAAAATAAAAACCCTACTAAGAGCTGGTTTAAAACATAATACAGCTTCCATATTTCCTTTATTTTGAAAAGCATTTTACAAGAAACAACACACCATCTGTTCCTTGCATCAGTAGAGAGCACGTGGTATTGACACTGAAAGACATCTCACTTTTCAGATCAATTCCAACTCCTAAAGTGAACACCTCTGTTTAACTATGTTGTAGAAAAGGGTTAAAACAGAGTTGGTGTAGTTTTATGCTGACCAGTTTGAAGCCCTATTCTTAGGGTGGCAAATTATAGTCATTCCCACTCCATCTCACATCGTATTCTTACCATCTTTGTCAACAGCAAAAGGTACATCCGGAGTTACAATTTCATAATTGCAAATCTGGCTGAACTGAGGTGAACAATCTGCATCCACGGCTTCCACTTTCAGGATGTTGTCATACCTCTTCCCTTCAATAACTGTGGCCTTGTATGACTTCTCTTTGAACACAGGAGCATACTCATTAACATCATTCACCTGAATATGTACTGTTGCTCTGGAAATAAAAACAGAAAGGTCAGTTTCCTATATATTGCAAAACTCCTATTGATACAATGAGTCTGATAAAACAGCTCCCTCTTTTACAGATGAAGCCATCCTTCAGAACTGAAGGTCCCTGAAAGAAATGACCACTGACTAATAAAGCTACCTTAACTAGGAAAGCAGTGGATATTTTTCTGATGTGTTGCTATATAATTCAGTGTAGTTTTAGGTTATTTGCAAATAAAATTCATATCCTTGTATTGCAACAATTGAGTTGCCGCCATTTTACAGAACTACAACAAAATACAGCTGTGACAAAATAGGCTTTTACTTCTTTTAAAACGGTACAATCCTTTGAATTCTTTCCTGCTGTCAAGAGTGTTTGATATAAACACCCCATTTTTATTTCATGTGAACAAGAATGACAGCTAAGACTGGTCTTAGACTAAGAGCTCAGCCAAGTGCATTTGATTAGCTTTCTTTTGGTAATAAAGTAGAGCTGTGCAAGTCAGTGAAAACTGGCTCATTTCTTGGATGTAGGAATGGAAGATGAGGCAATTTAAATGAAAAAAATCACTAAAGTGGAAGATACACTCTAACACATCATATAACTAGCTAGATAATCCCAAACAGATTGGATCTTGAATTCTGCCCTTTCATGCTTGTCACTGATTGCTGGTATATACAGAACAGGAAAATAATGCAGTTTCTGTGTGAATAATGAAAAGTATCTAGAATATAAACTAATAAAGAATTCAATCAGTACAGTCCTTCCGTAAAAGCAAAAGTTTTCTAATGCTTATGCTAAAAAAAAAAAAAACAAAAACAAAACCTTTAAGGTTTTATTTTAGCCTATGTGCTAAATAAATGCCACAAAAAATGGCCTTCTGTACCAAACACACTTTATATTCCTGCCTTTAAGAGCTGAAATCCCAGATGGTTAAAAGCCACAAAATAACACAGCCAGCCATGGGGCCAGGAAATTTCAGCAGTGGTTTGTAGGCACAGGTCTTGGAAAGGCAACATTCTGCTGTGGGAAAAGAAGAGTTGCAGAGCGTGCTGCTAGATTTGTACTGGTTCATTACATAGCCATGGATTGGGATAAACAAAATCAATTAACCAACACAAGGAGAAAAATATAGACAAGTTCTACAGTGCAAAGAAGGAACCGAACACCATCAAACTGAACAAAGAATATAATTCCAGCCAACCCAACAAAACATTTGTTGCCATCTTTCTCTTTGAAATCTCTCTTCAAACGACAAACTGAATATCAAATAGCGTTTAAGGGCATACCTATTTTCTGAAAGTGTAATCCTTAAGGAGATAACTTTCTGCTGCTTATTTGAAGCATACAGCTATAGAGTAACAAGGTTGCATTTGTCACCAAGATGACTGCTGCTAGTCTATTCCTCATCTTACTGATGCCCTTCTGTGCTTCACACAGACAGTAATCTTCCACATGCTCTGCAGATGTTTACACAAGGGTGTTAAACAGTTATTCTCAAGTGGATTTTCTGGAGAGCATTTTATGTTGTGGTTTTTTCTTTAGATAAAGATTAGCTAAAGATTGCTTTGTTCCCATTCTTTAATCTATGCAGAGATGAACCACTATTGATCTTACGTTTTTTGGTGAGGCTGTCTGGAAATGACAGCAACATGTATTCTTTTCCAATATAAATTGACTTCTTGAACCGGTTTTTCAGTTTTAGAAACTGAATTCTGAAACAATGCCCAAGCTTGGTATCCCATGCAAACTCTTTATATCAACTTAAGCCAGATTTTAAATGTATCAACAGTTTGCCTGCTTCTATTCCCACACTATTTTCTAATGGAAATTCAGAGACATCAAGAGATAAAGCAGTATCATCTAGAATAGAGCTAAAGAGCTGTCAAAACAGTCCACTTCCATTTTGCTGCTATTTATATTACCATCATATGAAAGCCTTCCAGTATTAACACTTGGCTCACGTTTACTCTAAATACACAGACCATAAATCACCATGAGGAGGAGACTGCTTGAAACCAAACTTCCCCTCAGCCCACCACAGATTTACTTACTTGTGGGATTTCTTTGCGTTTGCTCCATCTGGTCCCTTTCCACAGTCATAGGCCTGTATGGTGAATGTGTAGTCCTTCTGTAGCTCACAGTCAAGCTTTTCTTTAGAGCGTATTATGCCCTCACCAGTGGATTTATCCACTACCACTGCTTCAAAGGGAACATTTTGCCCGTGAATTTTAAATCCACAAATCTCACCTACAGATTCAAAGTAAGAGAGGTTAGAACTGGTCAAAATTATTACACTTTTTTTTAAATAAATGATGAAATATTTTGCAGCCAAGGGTTTGTGAGGGTCTGTGGACAAAGCAAGAGCACTGTGCTTTAAAATGGGTGATTTCTGGGAACTTTAGTAAAAAGAAGCATACGTCTGCCTTCCAAGCAACTTGTTTACTTTGCATCCATGCATGCAGGAATACAAAAGAGAAAAAGAGAAATGTAGACAGGCATTTCACAGGAGTACTTGAGATAGCTCTAGGGTAAGAGTAGATCTTATGAGAGCATACAGCCAAGGCCACTGGTAATATCTTCTATGCCAAGCTACTGGGAATAGCTGGGCAGCTTGTTTATTTTGACCAGAGCTAAAGGTTAAAATGCACAGTTACAAGTCGAGGGATGAAAAAGCTTCAAGTACAGGTTCAGCACCATAATTACAGAAATTCTGTCAACAGATCAAAGAACAAAGTCTTCCTGTGCAATGTACCTGGCTAAAATTAGGGAATCAAAATAAACTACTGAATGAGAAAGGTAGAAATACCAACTTCTCAGGCATCCATTTCAACAGCTATCTACTAACACAGACCAAATATGTTAGGCAAGGAAGGTCTCACATGGAACGATTTAGTAGGCTTTCCTTTCTATTCAAACTCTTCATCCTAACACACTTGCAAGAGAAGTCCCTAGTACCTCATTTTAAAACACATCTAAGCCTAAGATTACGCTACAAGACCTCTTGCTGGCACAGCTAGGTCAATCTGTCAGCACGTTATGTGGAGTGAGCCTAGCCCATCTAGCTGTGCTAACAAAAGCCATTCAATATAACAGTTTGATCACCCACACTGTGGTTTTACCTGTATAACTTGTTACATTTGGAAGGTGATTTTCTTACACCAACATAAAAAGCTCTTTTCTCTTTTGCTATTATAGTTGCAGTGGTATCATAGTATCAAGAATGCACTCCCACTGTAAACATGTCTAGAGGTATTCAAAAAAAGGTATTTGATTCAGATGTTTACTGAAGTACATACTGAAGGAAGTGTACTGCAGGGAAGGTGATACAATGCTTTGGCAGTTACAATATTACTTTACAAAGCATATAAAAAAAACTCAAGACATCCCAAAGAAGTAAGGTGTCAGTGAAACTATCAGAAAACGCTCATTTCCCCAAAAATAACTTCTTCGGTGTCCATACAATGTACAATAATTCCAAATGGTTCAAATGGATGTCTGATTTACAGATATTTCTAACCAAGGGTTTGGTTACATAACAGTTTTTATCAATATATTTTAAAATAGAAAAAAACTGGGAGAATAAATGGGACAAAAGAGCATGACAGGATCTTCTGTTTAAGTGCTGATTCCCCATTTCATAACCAAAGTTAGTAGGTTAATATTCATAAGAGGGATAGAAAGAACCCTTTATCACCTTCTTTGGTGACTGTCACCTCAAAACTCTCTAAAGGGAGAAAAGATAAACCCAAGTCAGTAACAGAAAAGGTTGAAAGGGAGCAAATAAGGAAAAGGCAAAGATGCACACATTACACAGAAAAGCTTTGGGAAAACTGTATTTTAAAATTCCACTGGTGATTTGCTGTAACCGTTACAATTTTAGCGTTTTAGTTATGTTAAATATGAATTTAATCTTTCAACTCCAGGTTGTCATTTGTAGAAATTTGAAGTATTTAGTAAATTTATCAAAAGGCTTTTTTCTTTTTTTCTCTACTTTTTTTTAATACCAACTCCTAAACAAAAGATATTTTCCAAATTCCATGTTGATGAAAGATTATCCATAAAGTAGAATTTTTATCAGAATGTTTGTACTATTGTATTTCAAGAAGACATGTCAAATAATTTAAACAAGCTTTTATCTATTGTAGTGAAACCACTATGTCTCTACAATTTAAAAACTTAATTTTCCTCTTTCGAGTTCCAGGGAAAAAAAAACCCAACAACTTTAAATAGACGTGGGATTTTTGTGTTTCCACATAACTTTTTCATCAGTCTAGGTTGTATAACACCTAGCATTCGCAAAATTTAAATTCAACTTGACAATATTGCCATAATTCATGATTAAAAATACACACATTAAATTTTGATTCTAACAAACATAAAAGCTTTAAGGAATGAAATGGGGGAGCTATGTATCTTCCTAGCAGCATATTGCTTTTCCAGGTTAAACAAGCAACCAACAGCTTCTGTCATTTTATTCTACTGCTGAAATACCGTACTGTTGGGCAGAAGAGTTTCACGTACTCAAGTATATTCATGTACAAGTACTAAGGATGCCCTAGAGTAACCTGCCTTGCCCCCTCCAGCCACTCCAGAAAAGCACAGGCTTCCACAGTGTCCTGGATCTTCCACGCTTATAAGGAGACCTCAGATATAATTGAGTTTTACAATGGTATTAGATGACTGTGAAAGGCACCTGGAATGGTTTCACAGTTTTAATGAAAAGACAGTTAACACTGTTCTTCACTCCCCTGGAAAGCATAATTTGTTAAAACCCCAAACTACCACCTTCTACATATCATCCAACACATCAATTATTTTTTCCCTGATTGCCATCATCTTTGACCTGAACTCCAGTACAACAAAGCAGACCTGTACCCTTAAAATCACTTCTAGCAGATCTCTTGTTAATTCTCACATACTTCAATCAACTTGCAGTAACATAGTTATTCAAGTCTCCATTCTAGAGTGGCCTTAAAAAAAGATGAGGCACTATAATTACAGAGAAATATTTTTCTTAAAAAAGGCAAATTTACAGTTCAATATTGAAGCAGACAGTAACATAGTTATTCAAGTCTCCATTTTAGAGCGGCCTTAAAAAGAGATGAGGCACTATAATTACAGAAAAATATTTTTCTTAAAAAGGCAAATTTACAGTTCAATATTGAAGCAGAAATATAATTAAGGAAAACTACCTTATAATGTATCATGATTTGTAATCCTTCATTTTAAAAGGAGGCAGTTTCTGAAATAGCTCTTATTAGGTTCTCCCTGAAACTCACTTCAGGTAATCCCTAGGCTTATAATCAGCTCTTTATTCTAAAGCACCAAGTGTGCTGCCTCTTGTGGCACCCACATAATTTATTTCAGTCTATTCTTACATGAGATATAAATATAATCCCGGATTTTAATGTGTTTTGGCAATAGGATCATTCAAGAATTTTACACTGCTTAAATTCGTGGCTAACATTGCTGATTAGCCAGAAGTGACATTCCAACGGCAAGCTTTTAAATATTCCACATCTCTTACTCCTGTACACCCTCCTCCCTGCCCCCTTCCAGTAACTTTAACCTTGAGAGTCAAGCATTGTGTGTGAAACATCAAGATTACAGAAAAAAAAATAAATATAGGAGGGAACATTAAAGCAGAAAGCCTGATAATGGAGAGAAGAGGGAGAAGTGTATTAAAGCGGCAATTACCTACTTGAGAGAAGGGGAGGCTGCTTAAAAACTGGTCAGTTCTTTACCACCTGAAGTGACCTTTAACTCTGGCACCAACAGCAATTTGGCTGCTAGGGAGCTCAGGCATTATAAATTTGGCTCTAGAGCATAAAACATAAATAAGCTCTCCAGTAAACATCCGTGTGCCTCCCGATGCTTTTAAGGCCTAAAGCTTCGGTTGGAGGTGTACTATAGCTCAATTCCTGCCAGACGTTTCTCAGAACTGACCCGATACAACTGTATTTTCCACTTCACACACTAGCAAGATTAACAAAAAGCCCTTTTACTACTACAGAGACAAGGTTCTTGTGACTGAAAAAGTCGCAATGCATAAAAAATATGGTGTTACTTATAAGTGTTCCAAATAAGCAAATGCAGAGCTCCCAACCTAACAGGCTTTTTAAGCTCCCTTCTTCAAAGTGTCTCTGCAATGAAAAGAAGCAAAAAGGAGTCATTCTCTAAAGAACAAAATATTTTAAAAATTAAAGCTCCCCCTCCTTTCTCAAAAATGCATTACAGACTGTTACAGAGCTGTTTGAAGACAAACAGGACAACTTACAGATTAATAGTCCCATACGTGGATAATATTCATTTTCATCTCAGTTATGAAATGCATATATTTATATAGTATAAGTAAGGCTTTCTTGTGATTATAGAATTCTTGGCAGTGATTTTTTTTTTATTGCCATTAAGCTTAGTCCCATACCATGCTCCCTAAGGTTTCATGCCGTGTCATATGTGCTTAATGCTTTTTCTCATTTCATTCTGAAGTTGAGATACATTACTGAAATAAATTTTTACCTCTCCTAATCTTAGAACAGAATGACGATCAATGTGTAAATTAGTTTATATTTGATATATTAGAAACTGTTCAGCTAAATTAACTGTAACTAGTTCATTTCCTGGTTCATAGTCCTGGTTTCAGCTGGGATAGAGTGATTTTTCTCCATAGTAGCTGGTATAGTGCTGTGGTTTGGATTTAGTATGAGAAGAACGTTGCTAACACCCTGATGGTTCAAGTTGTTGCTGAGCAGGTCTTATACCAGGCAAGGACTTTTCCACTTCCCCTGCTCTGCTGGGAGGGGGCACAGCTCGGACAGCTGACCTCAATGGGCCAAAGGGATATCCCACACCATATGATGTCATGCCCAGTATATAAACTGGGAGAAGAAGGAGGAAGGGGGGTACGTTTAGAGCAATGGCATTTGCCTGCTCAAGTCACCATTACGCGTGATGGAGCCCTGCTTTCCTGGGGATGGCCGAGCACCTGCCTGATGATGGGAAGCAGGGAATTAATTCCTTGGTTTGCTTTGCTTGCACAGCTTTTGCTTTACCTGTTGAACTGTCTTTATCTGAACCCATGAGTTTTCTCACTTATATTCTTCTGATTCTCTCCCCCATCCCATTGCGGGGGGAGTGAGCGAGCGGCTGGGGGGGCTTAGTTGCCACACGAGGTTAAACCACGACACTAGGATAGAACTTTACAGTGTTTCACCCAGCTGTAATTACAGTTGAAAAAACATTTCATTTTACAGATTACACATTTGTGGAACTTAGGCCAGCCAGAAAACATACAGTAGTCCTGTACCCTAAAGGCATTTTCCATTTCCATTTTCTAGTGTAGCACAATCAAATGACAGTGAGGATTTGGTAGAATTTTAAGGTTTTGTTGATTTTTACCATCTCTTTCTGTACTGTTATGATATAATGATGTAAAATACTTTATTATATCATATAGCTATAAAAAAAGGCTCATAAGATATTTAAACTGGACATACAGTATTTGACCAGACCCTCTTCAGACTCTAGAGTCAACTACCCCTTTACATTTCCATTCCACAGAAGGAGAGGAAATATATTCTTCCAGCTCTAAGCAAGCTGCAGTCTACTGAGGATTGTGGAAAGCCTTCAGGAAAACCTCCCACTTCAACATGTTTAGAATGTCTCCTAAACAAGTATTTCTTAGGACCATACAAAACTGTTAAAAAACAAACCAATTTTAAATTTCACAATTAGTGATAACTCCATTTCAGTTTGTATTTGTATGCACGATAGGTACAAGACAAAACGTCACTTCATGCATGCCTTAAATTTGATGCAAAAATGGCTGAAATACTATCGCAACAAAAATTCCTCAGGTTTGCCAACCGGCTGTGCAACATATTTGTTGTACACTCACTGGATGTGACAAGATCAAAATCTTTATCTGTTTGATTACACGGTGTCATTCATCTTCTCTACATATCGTGTCTTGATAACCATCATCCAGCTGAGCACTGCATTACACACAGGCCTACTGCAGACAGGACGTCAGCACAGCTCCCTGCCCTAAACAAACAGGGGTCGGCGGCGCAGCGCGGAAACACGGCATCAGCACTCGCCCATGGGAACACAGGAACCCCCCACACCTCCGGGGAGAGGCCGACAGAAAGGCTTGGTGGATTTGGGTTTGGTTGTTTTTTTTTTTTTAAAGAATGAATAGAGATTCTGCAAGATCATTTCCAAAGCTCTATGCATATTCATGCTCCAAGTCAAAAAATTCCTAACTCCCACAAAAATACTTCTTGCATCCCAGATTAGTAAGGGAAAAATAAAGTATTGTGACTGAAGAGTGGTTTTCTCTAGGGGAAGAGGGATTAAAACCCTACTACAAACACATCAAAAAACCAAGGAAACATTTCCTTCCACACGGGAAATATTTCAAACATCTTGCTAGCAAGACCCTACGTTACACACTCATAACAAAATACATTCAACTATGTGAAGGCATCCAGATAATTATTTGTTTCAAATGCAGTAAAAATTCAGCTCCTTTTTGCATAGTAAAGGGGAAATCCATACTGAGAGCTTCAGACATTAAACTGATTTTAGACATGAATTACTCTAATGTACAATAGAAAAATGTAGCTTTATTTTATTTTTTCAGCAAAACCATTTAGGATCAAATTCCAACATGACTCATTTTGTAACGTGGAAAAGTTTCACTGAGGAAGGAGAATGGTCATTGTCTTCTCAAGCAGATTTGTAACAATCACGGTACAAAAGACTGATTCCATAGGGTCTCTACATGTCGGGCAGTACGACGAGGCAAACTGGCACGACTGTATTCAAACTCTGTTTTCAAATTCGTGTTGTTTCAGATATAAAACCATAGAAATCACCCTAGAAATAAATGTCTATATAGCTCTACTTATTTTTGCACACCTGAGTTTTAGGATCCTACCCACAGCACGGAGTGCACAAAGTGATAAAATGTTATTTTTACTTGCCCCACAGTTCATGTACTACAAAGCGTTTAAATGAACTAGTTTCAAGATGTTTTGACATGCTCAAAATTGAAATAAAGCAAAAAGCTCTATTTAAAATATTTTAAACCTGCAGACAAGTTCAGAAGTTTCACAGCTCAGCTAGGGGGGACAGTTCATTAAAATATTCAACCTTCTGAAGCATGAATAAATTTGATTTATAAGTAGGAATATACCAGTTAGAGCTGAAACAGCCATTTAATCCTGAAAATGCTTTGTTTTGCTGTGAAAACATGTCACTGATCTAATGGGCTTCTCACACTTAAACACCCACATGGATGCTGCTGGACAATAACAGTGCTATTCTCCGTCCTAGGACATGACTACAGCACCACCAACTAGAATTGATAACGCTGATTCAACACCACTCCCACATTTGGTCTTCTCAAAGACAGATTCAAGTATTGTTCCATTTAACGTTAGAAAAATACTTTTATAGATTCTCATAGCACAGTCATTCAAAATTTACACAATTCAAATCCAACAGAGTCATACTGAAGAAAATTTCTTTACAACGTTAGCTTGCAATACTCAGAATTTAAGATAACTATTTTAAATCCATTGTTCTGCTTCTGCTTAAGTATTGTTAGTTTTTGAAAGCCAAAATATGGAACTGTTGTACAAAAAGTTTAATAAAACCAACTTCCTGTTGGTAAAAAAGTTCATTAAATGAAAGGAGGTTTACACAATTTAAATCAACACAATGGAAAAGCAGTCTCATTTGAAGTGATGCTTTGACACTTGATTTTCCTCTGCAAATTTTACAATATATTTGAAGATATTCTGCCAGGACTTTCTTATAGCTTCATGATATCCAGCACTCAAGAAAACTTTACTATCCACCAGAAGGTATAAAATTGCCATTTTCAAAATCTGATCAATGCTGTCAAACTACCAGCGCCTGCATTTAAAGCACTTAAGACCACCGAGAGACGATTCATATTCTCCTAATCACCAAGTATGCAAGTCAGCCTTCCTATGCCTCTTTTTACTTAACAGATTTTGTGTATCCCAACACAAGCATCTCCATGTGGAAATGAAAAGGCTTTTTTGTTCACAGACAGCAGTTTTATTTCCAGTTAAGATCACTTAAGAGCCTCTGCCATGTGTATCCAATATATGAGAAAGTTTGAATTTCAGAGGTTTACCAGTATCTCTGAACTTCCTGTATTTATAAGGCAGCCTTGGAGATAATTACAGCCTTATGATAATGCAACAAAGCTGTTACTTTAAGTATCACTTCAAGAAATTGGGATGGAGTTGCCATAACACTGTAGCACACAAAGCAGTTAGCATGCTGAACATTTCCAATGGCTGTTAATTTCATCGCTCTCTTTTTCTATCACTTCCTCCTTGAAGCCAGGCTAAGCAACGTTGCCAAAAATGGCTAATGTCACATGTATTTTACCAGGATTCTTAACTCTAAAATGTTACTTAACCAAGTATGCTTCTGCAAGTATCTAATTTAAGCTTGTGTTATCCACTACAACTAATTTAAATACCCACAGATGCCTGATGGTATTCTTCAAATGCACTTTTCTAGTATATTGTCAAACCAAAACTGTACTTTCCATAATACTGCATCCAATTAATGAATACAGTATTCTTAACAGTAGTTCCTAGAAAAAAACTACTGTGGAAGTTTGTAAGAAAACTGTCATCTCTCAGTCCTATGTTGAAAGTGAAGAATTAGTTTATGTTTTGCAAATGGCTTGTGTATCATTCTCAATATTCTTTGTTAGAGGAGAAAAAGCCTTTTCTTCAGGTAGAAGAGGCCATCTGTTTTTTAGAATACCTCAAACTGGTAAGCAAGCTTATCACAGGAAGTCTAGATTTCTACAGGAATTGTCAGCCCAAATACTGCAAAGAAGAAATGCAATCTTAATTCTACTGTTTTCAATCTATTAAGACACAAATTAAAAACAGTAAAAAACCCAAAAACTCTCTTCAGAATTGTAAGAAAATAATTGTTCCAGAACTCCCAGAATGAATGCTGTGAAATGTGGAATTCCAGAGGACTGAGGAAAGGACTAGGCACTCCAGGGAAAAAAACAAAACAAAACAGAACCCAACAAAACACCAGAAAAATTAACATATACACATAAAATGGAAAGAAGCATGGATTATCTGCAATATAGAGTACTCTCTGGTTTGGATATTTGGATACAGCTGTGTATTTATGGCTGTAAATATGAAATAAAACTCTGGTCCACGCACAAACATTTCCTAGAGTCTAAAAGTTTTGAAACATTATGCTACTGTCAGGGAAAACGCACTAAATAACACGCAGCATTTGTCATCAAGAAAGCATTTCCACTTCTTAAAAGAAAAATGCAGATCAATGCTTTACCTGCAAAACGCACAGGCGCATCTTTGTCCAGGGCTATCAAAGGGGGGTCCAAGAGCACCGTGTTGTCATTTTCCGTAATTATACCGTGATAGGTTGTTTCAATCCATGGCTTATGCTTGTTAACTGAAAGGAAAACAAAGCACAAAGTCAAAACGTTTGACAACTTCTTTAAAAAATGCTTTATAATACTGATTTCACTATTTTCCTCTTTCATTTTTCTAAATCTGAATTAGCATTTTACTAAACTAAAAAATTTGAGATAAAATCCTGCCTAAGTATATTCAGAAGAGTTCAGTGTCCCTCTAAGGCTTTCCAAAAGTAACTCAAAGAATCTAAATTAGTCTCTTAACTGTGCTGGGATTTAAGATGCCCCTGAAGTGCAATTCAAAAACCTTGTAACAGCAATGGGGAGCTGCTGTCATCAGTGCCAACCGTGACAGTAGAAAAAGTATTCAGCACCAGACGAGAAAGGACTGGCCAATGTGAAACACAAGGGCTTGCTGACACTCTACTTCTTGGGAGTGTTTGGGACCCAGTTGGTGGACTATTCTTCAGCATGTGAAGCCTTTTTCTAGTTTCAGCATTTTGTCTTGCACGGGGTTTTTCATTAGAGAACAGGTAGAAAAGAGATCAAACTTAACTAATTTCTACACAAGGCCTATGCACGCTTGCCAAGGAAACAAACAGGGAGTGACAGTCTGTCCCCGTAGAAGATCTATACCAAGAACCTTCATTATCAGTTTTACCAGTCATTCATAAGACATCCCGGGTAAAGGAGGACTCCAGGAGTTCTACTGAAGCTGGGGAACTATGCAAAATGCAAGAAAGGGAGAAGAGAGGCAATCGAGAAGGACGAGACACCAGCTTTGCAGTCCCACACCTCAGCTGCAGAGATGCAACATAAGTGCTCCAGGCCTTTCTAGGTTTGGGGGACTTGTACCTTGTACTCTTTAATCCAACATACGTCTAATGCAGATTTCAAACACTAATGGAAGAAGGGACCAAAATCTCAGGCCTTTTCTGTCATCTAATAGAATGCCTTGAAATCTAAATAAAATACTGACTACTTTCTATATCGCCTATTTAGCAGTCGCTTTAAGAGCTTGGGAAATGCCACTAAAAGATCGCCCATAAAAGCATTTTTCAACTCTGCGAACCAATCACTTGAGCACATTTAACATGACTGGTCTTCCTCTGCTGCAAAGAAACGCAGTATCTTTCCTTATCAGCTTGCAAAAATAGATTTTCTAGTACATCATAAGAGATGCAAGATAAAAATCATATGTTATCTACTAGGTTATCATGTACTACACTATGTGACAATCCAATGGGAGAGCGCCTTGATTATTAAGTATTTATGTTATGCTCTCCAAAGATAAATACAGCGCATAGTCCACAGAACCAGTGTATGTGGTGTAGCAACTAATTCTTCTTGACAGTTGAATATATTGTTTTGGGCAATGTGTATCTGCTACTTCATAAAAATCTCTTAGGCTAGCACATACTCCTGCTTCTTAACTTAATACTATTTTCCCAGATGTAATTCTGGAAGGTTGTACATTATCTAGCTGCTTAGAACCTACGGAAAACTTCCATCTAGAGGGCCTGAAAACTGCTCCTTACCATATAAAACCAAGTAATCTTCAGCAAACGATGTAATAGTCAAATATAAGAAATGCTTGGCTAGAGGTGGTAACAAACATACCAAACAGCATTCAATAGGTGACATCACCCAGGTTTTGGTCTTCATGAGATCAAGTACTTACAACTTCTGAAATAAACGCCTGTGCAATCACAGCAAAGTATATACCACAGCTAGAACATTATTACACAGTTGAGCCCTGCTATTTCACCTCTAAAGAATTATACCAGCAGATTGTTAAAACAGGCAGAGATGTAAGGCTAACCTAGACTGTTGGATCCTGCCTCTCCAACAAACTAAAATGGATTAATGATGTCTGTCATACACTTACCCGGGGGAATTTTAAAAAAAGGTGATAGAAGGACACTTAAATGATTAAACCTAGAGGTAGAGAACTCACAGAGGAAACCATAACACTCTCCCAATATACTTTCATCCGCGATCTTTTACTGGTTAGTAGCAACAAACTGCTAGCCAGGATACAGTATCTTCATGCATAAAAATGCAGCAAGAGAGAACTCACAACAAACTATTTTAATGCAAACAGTGTTTAATTACCACCGTGTGGTTTTACTCAATATGGCAACGCTATCTTTATTGCCTCAATACACTCACATGGGCATGCTTTCAATATTCAGCATACCAAATAGCCAGCTAAATGTCAGCCACATTGTTCTATTTACCCAGAGAAGTACACTGCTGCAGCACCCTCCCAGGAACTCGGTGTTTTAAAACAAACTTTGTCATGCTCAGCGGGACTAACACATCATTCCTCCCTCGGGGGGAAGGCAGCAATGACTGCAAAAACGTGAGTCTCCAACTGAAACATGTCTTTCAATTAGAATCTGGTCTAAAGAAAAGTGTTTCACTAATACAGTTACACATCAACCGATCGTATCAGAGTCCTTTCATTCATTTGTCTTTGCCTAGTATAAAATACTTACCTAGTATAAAATACTAGAACAGATCTCTGCCAGAAAAAAACTCCATCTCCATTCTAATGCTTCTGAATGCAGATTACCATTTTTTTTTAAGCATTGAGAAACCTTCTCCTAATTTAGCAACCTACAATAAATCCCACTACTGTAGGGTAGAGAGCTCTATAAAAGCTTGAAGTACTGTAACCACATATGAACAGAATTATGAGCATGCTAAGCATCTGCAGAGTCTAGTGAACCTTCAAACAACAGGCCCAGTTAAAAGCAAAGTCATGTCCTTTTATTGTGCTGTAGACAACAAAATCATAAAGCTTAAAGCCCTTTGTGTTTAGGAAGGCTAAAACATCACCAGATTTTAAAACATAAAGCTTAAACCCCTTTGTGTTTATGAAGGCTAAACATCAGTGGATTTTAAAACACCAAACTCACTGCTGAATATCCAGGAAAGGCCTGTTATCCTTATTAGTAATCTACTGACTCCAGCATAACCAAGTACCGTAAGAAATTCTCAAGCTAGCATTTGAAATATGAGGCACAGCTTACAAGCAGTACATTACTGCTTCCCTTGAACCAACTGCAAAATTGAACCAAGTATTATTCTGATCTCAGTTGGCTTAAATATTATTAAACATTGGACTGAAAACTATCCTTTCACATTTTTTCCCCTCCTTAGAAAACTCCTGAAATCTACGGAGGAGGTTGTTCAAAACCAGACCATTAATTTCAAACCAAAACAGTCAGCCTATTCCAAGCTTGACACTAACAAAGTGCTCTGAGCTGTTAATCTCTTGCCATTTAACTGGGATAAACTACACTGGTTTCCTTGAAATACAATATTCACACTATTTGTAAGCGCCTCAACTGGAATCTGCTGTAAATCCCAACTAGCATTTAATCTAGTCAAGCGGGGGAAGCCACCCTGGCACAACGCAGCAAGCCGACTTCTACTTAGTTTTTAGCAGCCACAAAATTTAAAAGACAGCTAAGCCTACCTCTTTTTCCAGGTAGCAAATTGAATTGCTAGAGCCTTTACTGCTGCCAAGCAATGACTGAACATGCATCTGCAAGGTGAGCAAAAGCCACCTGGCTAACTTTTTTATATAAAGTTAATTGCTGCTAAAGCCATAGGAGGAAAGGGAATTGGTGCCTGATGTGATGTGGGCCTTGAACACTGTTTTTTAAAATACCATTTGCTCTAGGTGAATGTGCTCAGTTTCTTACGAAACTGAACAGACCGGCTTTTATAAATACTGACTGGAACTACTCCTGACTGTTCCGCAGAAAAGGAATGTACCTTAAAGAAAGGATGCTGCACCAAGAGCAACAGCTGATGCTGCAGAATGCAATCCATCAGATCAACTAGCAGCAACTTTCTCCTGCTGCTTAAAAGAATTAATGAATATAAATGAGAATGTAGGCAGGGCAATGGGGTTTAGGGCTAATATGGAAACTTTAATCAAAAGCTATAATCTTAGGACAATCAGAATTAATTCAGTTCTAGTATTTGAATGCAAACATATTAAAATTACATGTACTTATCTGAGGACTTGTGTTATCTTCTTACAAGTGGCCAGAAGTTAATTTGACTTAAATGGGATCTGGCACCTACATAACTGAAGATTTAGACACACCTCAATCAGAAAGGACTGTAGCTGGAAATATTTTTTCTTCTGTTTTCTTCTAATATATAGCGTTGTTTAGCCGCACTACATATCTTTCAATCTAAAGCAAAATAATTAATGCCAAAACAAATTCTTAAGGATTAACTGTAAAACACGTTGAACAAACTCAATAACAAGTAGTAGAGTTTGAAAGGTAGATGCTCAAATCTAGTGACAGTAGACAAACATAAAATATGAATTTCTAAAATCTGCCTTTGAGACTTCACAAAAAATCCCCAGATTGCATAAAAAGCGAATTACAGTCTCTGTCAACTCCAGTGAACTGCACTCAATGAACTGAGTAAACAGTCCTGAAGGTCTGACAAAAATTTTGATTACAGTACATCTTTTGTTTAATTGTCTTCCTCCTGATGTCAGACAATACCAGCATGCCTTTCAGCAAGACAATAAAAACTCTAAAGTATGTCTTAACTTTAATATTCATAATTTAGCACTGTTCTGATGAAATTTCAAGCAATATCATTAAACGAACAAGTTTGTATAGTACACAAACACAGGAAAATGGAGCTCAACCAAGGAGTAAAGATCTACACAATAAAATATACCTTCACCACCCTGAAAGCAAAGTCTAATAAGAAAGGGTGTAGCATGGCCTGATGACAGTCTGTGTTCTGGTCCTGCCCTAGACTCAGCAGCCTGCAATTCAGAGCTGTTCCTCTATTTTCTATTAGAAAGGGTGAGGATTAACTTTTGTATATGAACAACTTGAAATGTATCAGTGGTAATGAAAAGATTTTATTTGCTTATTTAATTGGGTCTTCTCATACGTAGAATTTTATCAAAACCCATCTTCTTACAACCAGATACAAACAATGGGGTAAAACTGAGCACAAGTTTTGCTCAAGTGCTGAGTTTCTTGAT